CTAGTAGAAAATAGAATATAGTCTTTGTGGGCAGAGGAAATGACATGTACAGAGAATCAGAATTGTGAAATGTCAGATGGTCCTGGAGAGAAACAGGGTAGTAAGTAATCTTAAACAGAAAGTGATTGTAAAACCATGGAGTAGGAACCATGGTAAAGTGACAAATCTATACTTGCATTTGTTAGTGCTTTTGTTCATTCTCAAAATTTCTTGTTCATGTAAAGAAAACACTAAGTTTTAGTGAGGCCTAGTTCATTATTATAGAAATTAAATAGCATATCTATAAATAAGAAAGTTGTGATAATGCCTAGTCTTAGAATGTAGAACATTGTTTGTGGATATGTAAATTGTTAAAATCACCTTGGAAAATAATTTTTATTTTATAAATCAGAGCATACATGAGTCTTATAATTCTAGCATCTCTACCTGTGGTATAGGTACCAGAAAAATTCTTTTAAATGTGTATCATGAGGCCTGTAGAAGAATGTTCTTAGCACTGTTGTTTGAAATAGCAAAAAATGAAGTGTTTTATCTTAGGCAAGTTACATAATCTCTTTAAGCTTTAATTTCTTCTTGTGGAGTAGAGACAAAATAATGCCAACTACCTTGAAGGGTTGTTTTGAGGATTAAATGAACTAAATCATGTAAAGTACTTGGGACAATGTCTGATACATAGAAAATGCTTAATATATGTTAGCTGTCAACACTCCAAGTAAAAATGAGTGAGCTATTGCTACATATGTCAACATGAATAAATTTCATGCAAAAAAGTTGAGCAAGAAAAGCAGGTTCCATAATGTCCCAAGTAGCATGGTATCAGTCAAAATCCAGAAACATCTGTAACTAAATATTGTTTAGAAATAGTATTTGTGTGTTAAAACTGTACAGAAGCATAAGAAATTGGGACAATAAACAACTACTTCAAGATAATATTTTCCTATCTAAGTGGTATAGATAGGGGATGCTATTGTTGTATTAATGTTTTTATGTTATTTTGTCTGTATGTTGTCTTTATGTTATTATGTCTGTAGCCCTTTATATAAAATATTTCCTAAAAGAAATGTCAGTGGTTTGTATATCCTTCCTTATACTGATAAAATTTTAAAATATCTATTTATCCTTTCAACTTGACAAATAGGATCATGTCATATTAACAATTGTATACCTAGCTTTTTTTCATTTAGCAATTCTTGTGAGTACTGCATACAAATCTTTTTAATGGCTTTTAGAATTTATCATATATAGATCATAAATTTTTAATCAGTCCCATGGTCATACAGCCATAGAATATTTTCTTTTTTCTTATCTTTTTTTGTTAAAAAAGAGTGCTAAGATGATTATTTGTTTATGTATGTATCTGTATAAAAGTTTCTCAAAGAAGAATTGCACTCTCACCAACAGTACAAAATATTATTTCTCTATACCCTTCCCAGTATCCAGTATTATTAGGTATATTTTCCATCCTTTCTAGTCTGTATAAAAGATTGGCATCATAGTTTTAAATCTTTAATTGAAGTCCACCATCTTTTCATGTATTTATTATGTTTCTTTTTCCTATGAAATAAACTGGACTTTATCTTGTATCTCAGTGCTTCTAGGATGAGAGAGCCCATTTCTATGGATTGCATAAATTGTTTATCTTATGATAGCATTCCTCAGACAGTAATGATTCTCTGCCCTCTATTTTTCAGTGTGTATAGGGCTCCCCAATAGAGCTTTGATAATTGGATACCTTATAAGGATTCTGAGTAGGAAAACCAACAAATTTGCATGCCTAAACTTTCACGAGGCAATCATTTAGAAACCTGCTAAAATAAGAGAGGCAAAGAAGATAATGAGAGCTTGCATTAAGAGAGTAGCTAAGTGGGCATGGAGAAGAGAAAATGGATTTGAAAAACAATCAGAATTTTAGCTCGTTTTTGAAGATTGATTATTTTATTGACCAAAAGAGATGTTCTGCCTGAATCCGAAGGGTGTGAAACAAGGCTTGAACAATGTCTCAGTTTATTATTTCAGATACAGAGTGGCGGGGGTGGAGGGGGAGGGGATCTACTTAGACTGGTTCATTAGTTAATTGAATTACTTGACTATTTTGATAGAATACAATTGTGTTATATTTTAAAATACTATGATTTTACATTAAAATAAAGGAGAAGTATATACTTAGATTTTAAAAGAAACCCACCTTATAAAAAGTGAACAAGCTCTTGAAAATTAGAAAAGTGTTCATAATCATACTCAGAAATAGAATTAGCATTCATTTTATATCCTTTAAATCTTTTATCTTTTCACACTTAAAACAGTATAAATAAAATTTTATATACGGACTTTTTAGCATTAAGTAATTCTCCACAATGTAGATACTATTCATAAGTCTGACTTCAAATGAGCACTCATTATGTTAAGTGGACATACCATAATTTACATAACCATCCCCTTAATTTGGGACATTAAAGTTGTTTCTTCATTTTTACTATTAAAAAATTTTCTGAGAATATTTTATGCCTAAAGCTCTTTCCATTTAATACATTTTTTTCTTTACTAGATCGAGTAAATGGTCAAAATGTATGCATGTTTTTAAAGCTTTTGATATATTTTATTAAAATTGCTTTTCAGAAATGGTTGGCCCAGATTTTACTCCTATGTATGGAATTAGCAGTGAATGGGAATGACCATTCTCCTTTCACCACTTTTTTTTTTAAACTTTGTCAGCTTAACATATATCTAAATTTAAACTTGCTGAAAGAGATACAGTTGAGTAATAGAAAAATGCCCTTTTTCTGTTAAAGTTTCTCTACAAATGTTAGTTTCTCACAATTCACAGATAGTATATCCCTTATTGTAGATTGTGGACTGTACATTTTTCAAACACTGATGGTTTATTTGTTTTATCAGACTCCTGAAAGATGTTTTAGTTATTTTATTAACTGAAACACATTTAGGTGTATAGCTGTAAGTTTACTGTGTAGTATGAAATAATTCTAATAGGTTAATTACATGTATTTTGGTAAGCATTTAATAGTTGAACTAAATCATTTATTACCCAACTATCACTCACATTTTTGTTTAATAATGAAATAATGCTTTTTATATTTCCCTTTAAAAATGTTTTTAATCAAAAAGAAATGTATTTACTGTTTAATGTACAGAATATAAGTATAATTAACCTAAGTCATACAGTAAAACACTGGGTCATGAAACCATTTTACATTTGTTCAGATACATATTTTTAAGTAAGTTTTAATTTACAATTGTTAAATGACTTATTAGATTAGAATGCAGTAAAGACGACCTGATCCAAATAGTTGTCACCATAAAAAGCGTAATTACTTTATGACCATTCCTGATCCTACGACTAACACCACAGTTTGTGATTATTTATAGTTTTTAATCTCTTTGAGTATCTCAGCTGACCCTGAGATTTTTAATACAAATATTGTACCCAGTTTATAGTAAAAAGGAATTGTGATTTAGAAAAGTCAGCTGCTTAAATTTTATACCCTAGGTGGGTAAGACAGGGTTTCAACCTAGGCCCTTTCTCTAAACCTTTTTGTTGTTCTTGTTTTCTTCTGTTCAAGTTGTTTATGATTTTTGACAGTTACTTGAGTCATTTATTTTGAAAACTCTATGGAACAAATACATTTCCTGAATTTTTTTTAATTCTTCTCAACTTTTATCATGCATTTTGAAAGAATGTTTGCTGGATACCATTATCTAGCCAACTCCTTTGGAGTAACTGAGCATTGTCATAACACAGGGGACAACTATTAGGAAAACTATATAAAAATAGCAATTAACTGGGTTTGACACAGTTAGTTTTCAGTAGACAGTAGATCCTCAGATACATTTTTAAAGTTTAATTGACTACTTCCTGGTAAAATAGCAGCTTTTAGTTTTCAGAGCATTTTCATATATATTATCTCCCTAAATCCTTACAATACTCCATGTAATAAAACTGTATAGGTATTGTAATTATTTAATAATTGAAAAACTGAGTTCCAGAGAAATAAAATGTCACAAAACTACTTTGTTTCAGAGCAAGGGCCATTATGTGCATTTATAAATTTATAATATCTTGCCATTTAATGAGTTTTATTGTTTAATTTTAAAATAAGCCAAATTTTAATGTTTTTTATTTTTATAAAAGATTGTAAAGGTTTCTCCTTTTAAAAATATTAGCCGTTTATGATTACTATAAATATTTTATGAGGCAGTAAAAGTATTACTGTCATTTTACTTGGTTGTCACTGTTTCTTCCCAGATAACTGTATACTAATGGGAAAAATAATGGCAAGTAGTTATCTCGTTTCTTAAAAGAAACAAAACCTTCTCAGGACTTTATGTTTTCTAATGTGCTAAGTTTCACTTATTCAGTATTTATTTCACAGAAATATTGTTTATGAAATTTCAAAGCATTTCATTCATGACTGTCATTGATTGACGTATCTCCTTCCCTAAGTCTTGTATATGATTTTAATCCTTCTAAGTAATCCATAAATTCAGGCTAATTAATTCATTCCCTTACTGAACAAGATCATAGACTACTATCTTCCTTCTTTGATCCCTCGTATCATACAGTACAGTCCTTGGTACTGTGTAAAAAACAGTTTTTACAGAAAATTTTCAAAGTAACAATTTTACTGATTTGCATTTTCTTCCTCATAATTTCTTCACTTTCTGTGTACATATTACTTTTAGTTAACAGCTTTACTATAATCAGATATATCTCTCACATGGCATAGTTAGCCTTCTGATTCATCCTATATTGTTTTCTGTAAGATGGTCCATTTTGCTCATAAAGTTGAGTTTTTTTTTTTTTTAATTCATATTCTTTTATTTTGACATGGCTTCATAATGTACATTTGATTTTGGGGAACTGCTATACACAGTGATGATGCTACGTATTGACCAACTTGCTGAATTCTTGCTAATGAAGGTATTTTATTTTGTTGTTGTTTTCATATTCTGGCAACTAATGAGTTGGGGATTGTTCCCATTAGGCAGCTGAAGAAGATACTTCCAGTTCTCTAGTGAAAGATCATCTTTTCCATCAAGATACCGTGGTTACCAGTGAGCCTTACAGAAGCTCAAGACCTTCTCCCTTTGAAGGTCTGAATGCCAGAAGTGTCTACCTGCGAAGCCAAGCGAATCAGGTGAGAAAATAATCTTATCCAGCATCAGGGTCTTTTCCAATAAGTCTGACTAGAAACCTGATTAGAAGCTTATCACTTTTGTGGATCTTGTTAAAAGAACTCGTTTTTGGTTTCATCAATATTCTCCGTTAATTTCCTGCTTTCAATTTCATTGATTTCTACACTAATTCTTATTGTTTCTTTCCTTTACCTTGCTTTGATTGAATCTTCTTTTTCTCATTTCCCAAGGTGCAGTTCAGTTCAGTCCAGTCTCTCAGTCGTGTCTGACTCTTTGTGACCCCATGGACTACAGCATCCAGGCTTCCCTCTCCATCACCAACTCCTGGAGCTTATTCAAACTAATATCCATTGAGTTGGTGATGCCATCCAACTATTTCATCCTCTATTGTCCCCTTCTCCTCCCGCCTTCAATCTTTCCCAACATCAGGGTCTTTTCCAATGAGTAAGTTCTTTGCATCAGGTAGCCAAAGTATTGAAGTTTCAGCTTCAGCATCAGTCCTTCCAATGAATATTCAGGACTGATTTCCTTTAGGATGGACTGGTTGGATTTCCTTATAGTCCAAGGGGCTCTGGAGAGTCTTCTCCACCACCACAGTTCAAAAGCATTAATTCTCTGGTGCTCAGCTTTCTTTATAGTCCAACTGTCAATCCGTACATGACTACTGGAAAAACCATAGCTTTGACTAGATGGACCTTTGTTGGCAAAGTAATGTCTCTGCTTTTTGTTATGCTGTCTAGGTTGGTCATAAGCTTTTCTTCCAGGGAGCAAGCATCTTTTAATTTCATGGCTGCAGTCACCATCTGCAGTGATTCTGGAGCCCAAGAAAATGAAGTCTCTCACTGTTTCCATTGTTTCCCCATCTATTTGCCATGAAGTGATGGGACCGGATGCCATGATCTTAGTTTTCTCAATGTTGAGTTTTAAGTCAACATTTTCACTCTCTCACTTTCATCAAGAAACTCTTTACTTTGCTTTCTGCGATAAGGATGGTGTCATCTGCATATCTGAGATAATTGATATTTCTCCTAGCAATCTTGATTCCAGTTTGTGCTTCATCCAGCCCAGCATTTCTCATGATGTACTCTGCATATAAGTTAAATAAGTAGGGTGACAATATACAACCTTGATGTACTCCTTTCCCAATTTGGAACCAGTTTGGTGTTCCATGTCCAGTTCTAACTGTTGCTTCTTGATCTGCATACAGATTTCTCAGAAGGCAGGTCAGGTGGTCTGGTATTCCCATCTCTTAAAGAATTTTCCACAGTTTGTTGTGTTCTACACAGTCAAAGGCTTTAACATAGTCAACAAAGCAGAAGTAGATGTTTTTCTGGAACTCTCTTGCTTTTTTGATGATCCAGCAGATGTTGGCAGTTTGATCTCTGGTTCCTCTGCCTTTTCTAAATCCAGCTTAAATATCTGGAAGTTCACGGTTCATGTACCATTGAAGCCTGGCTTAGAGAATTTTGAGCATTACTTTGCTAGTGTGTGAGATGAATGTGATTGTGTGGTAGTTTGAACAATTAAGGTAGAAACTTTGATTATTAATTTTAGATCTTCTTTGCTAAAAATATATTCAGTGCTATAAATTTCCTTCTGTGCACTACTATCATTGTATCCCACAACATTTGATAAGTTGTGTTTCATTTCTTTTTAGTTCAAAATACTTTTGATTTCTCTTGAGATTTCTTCTTTGACCCTTGTGTTTAGAACTGTGTTGTTTAACTGCTACTCATTTGGGGATTTTCCAGGTATCCTCTTGTTGAATTCTAGTTTAATTCCTCTGTGGTCTGAGAACACACACTGTATGATTTCTACTCTTTTAAGTTTTTTAAGGTCTGTTTTATGTCCCAGACTGGTCTGTCTTGGTTAATGTTTCATGTAGGCTTGAGAAAATACGTATTCTGCTCTTGTTAGATGAAGTTTTCTTTAGATGTCATTGTATCCACTTGTTTGAAAGTGTTGTTTAGTTCACCTCTTTGCTTACTGATTTTCTGCTTGCTGAGTCTGTCCATTTCTGGGAGAGGGATATTGAAGTTAACAGCTATGGTAAGTGGTATATCCATTTCCTCGCAGTTTTACCAGTTGTTACCTCATGTAACTTGATGTTGTGTTGTTAAGCATGTACACATTAAAGATTGTTATGTCTTCTTGGGGAATTTAACCCCTGTATTATAAAATGCCCTCTTTTCTTTTTTAATAATGCCCTTCTTTATCACTGGTAATTTTCCTTGCTTTGAAGCTCCCCCTGTCTGTACTTGTATTTTCTTTTCACAAGTGGTAGCATGGTATATTCGGAGAAGGCAGTGGCACCCCACTCCAGTACTCTTGCCTGGAAAATCCCATGGACGGTGGAGCCTGGTAGGCGGCAGTCCATGGGGTCGCTAAGAGTCGGACATGACTGAGCGACTTCACTTTCACTTTTCACTTTCATGTATTGGAGAAGGAAATGGCAACCCACTCCAGTGTTGTTGCCTGAGAATCCCAGGGATGGGGGAGCCTGCTGGGCTGCTGTCTATGGGGTCGCATAGAGTTGGACACGACTGAAGCAACTTGGCAGCAGCAGCAGCATGGTATATTATACTTCATTCATTTACTTTTCCTTTAACAACACTAAACTGCTTTACAGATAGTGGGTGAACTCTATATTAGCAGTAATCCGTATTCCTCCTTCTATCTCTTCTATCATTGCTGTCACCATTTCACTTTATATGCGTATACCTGTATATGTATAGGTATGTAAATATATGCTGATTTTTGAGCAAACCTCTCTCTTAGCTCAATTAAGAATAAGAAAATTAAAAGTTTATATTATTTTCACATGTTTCTCCTAAAATGCTCTTGCATTGGCATATAGATCCAAGTTTCTGACCTATATTATTTTCCTTCTCTCTAAGGAATCTCTGTTAACATTTCTTATAAGGCAGGTCTGCCAGCAAGAAATTTCCTCAAATTTTTGTTGCCTAAGTCTTTCTCTCTCACTTTTTAAAAACTGATCTTTTTTTCATTTAAGGTGTTTTTACATAATAGCTTATACCTCTTAATCCCCTTCCCACATGTTGCCCACCCCTTCCCTGTCCCCACTGATAGCCACTCATTTGTTTTCTGTATCTGTGAATCTGTTTATTTTCTGTTATATGCAATATTGTGTTAAATTTTTTAGATTCCACATATAAGTGATGTCATATAGTATTTGTTTTTCTCTGCCTGACTTATTTTACTTAGTGAAATAACCCTCCAAGTTTATCTATATTGGTGCACATGTCAAGTTTTCATTCTTTTTTTCATGACTGAGTAGTATTCCTCTGTGTGTGTGTGTGTGTGTGTGTGTGTGTGTGTGTGTGTGCGCGCGCACGTGCACACACCACGTCTTATCCATTTGTCTGTTGATGGACACTTAAGTTGTTGTCATATCTTGGCAATTGTAAATAATGCTGCTATGACCATTCCCTTGTGGCTCAGCTTGTAAAGAATCCGCCTCCAATGAGGGAGACCTGGGTTCAATCCCTGGGCCGGGAAGATCCCCTGGAGAAGGGAAGGGCTACCCACTCCAGTGTTCTGGCCTCAGAATTCCATGGACTGTGTAGTCCATGAGATTTCAAAGAGTTGTACACAACTGAGCAACTTTAACTTTCACATGAATATTGGGGTGTGTCTATCTTTTTGAGTTAGTGGTTTTGTTTCTTTCAGATATTTACTCAGAAGTGGAATTGTTGGATCATATGGTGGCTCTATTTTTAGTTATTTGAGAAACCTTCATACTCTTTTCCACAGTGGTTGCACCAATACATTGCCACCAGTCTCCTTCACTTTTGAAGGATAATTTTATAGGATACAGAATTCTAGGTTGGAAGATTTTTTTCTCTTTACCACTTTAACTGTTTCACTTTACTCTTCTTATTTACATGGTTTTCTGCAAAGAAGTCCAATGTAATTATTCTTTAAAAGCAAATTATTTTTCCTCTGGCATCTTTCAGAATTTTTTTATCTTTGATTTTTTTTATAGTTTGATTATATGCTTAGATGCTTTTCTTTTCTTTGTCATTTTCCTGCTTGATATTTCCTGAGCTTCTTGGATCTGTGACTTGACATCTGACATTAGTTTGGGTAAATTCTTAGTCATTATTATTTCATATATTTCTTTGTTATTTTCATTTTTTTCTTCTTCTGATCATTCTATCTTGTGTATATGTACAAAATTACACATTTTATAGTTCTTCCACCATTCTTAAATATTCTGTTCTTTTTTCCCCCACTTTTTGTTCTCTTTCCTTTCAACTTGGACATTGCTGTATTCACATACTCAAAGGTTTTTTACTCAGTCATGTCCAGTCTACTAGGCTCATCAAAGGTATTCTTCATTCTCTTAGTGCTTTTGATCTCTAGCTTTGGGGCAGGGCGGGTGGTCGTATTCTTTATTAGGATTTCTGTCTCTCTGTTTGCATTGCTCATTTGTTTTTGCATTCTATCTTGGTTTATATATTAGAGTGCTTAAAATATTGATCATAGTTGTTTTAAATTCCTAGTCTGCTGTTTCCAATATCCCTGTCATATCTGGTTCTGATGCTTGTTGTGACATTTCAGAATATATTTTTGCCTTTTGGTTTGTTTTTTAATACTTTTTTGGTTGCTAGACATAATGTGCTGGGTAAAGGAACTGCTGTAAATAAGCCTTTAGTGATACAGTGGTAAAGTGTGTGAGAAAAGGAAGCATTCTATGTTTGTGATTAGGTCTCAGTCTTTAAGTCTAAGGCTTTCCCTCTGGATTGTGCATTTCAATTATATATATATATATATATTTCCCCCTTTAGGTGGATCATGTGGTTTGAAATGACGAGGGTTGGGTATATGGCCCCTCCTGACTGATGATACCATAGTAGGTCAAGCTGTGGTTCATTAGTGTTTCCTGAGGACAAGCCTTGCCACAGAGAGTGCTCCAGCACACCTCATAATGGTTCTTCCCCCCTCCGTGCTGGGAGCATGCAGGGATTTTTCTGGTATTTACTGTGGGAACTTGGTTGAGCTGTTAGAGGTAGACTGATAGAAGCTTGGGGACGTCCCTAGGAGTGTTTAACTCCCAGTTGTCTATCCTGAGCCTCCAGCAATTTGTCAATTACAGTTGAGATTCCCTCCCCCCACCCTGACACTGGTTTCCATGGTGATCTCTACTCTTGAGTCTCTGCAGTCTTAGGGGTGGGGTTTGTCCTGTCTTCCTCTCTCATGGATCTAAGAAGAGTTGTTGATGTTTTTTGTTGTTATTCCGCTTTTTTTTTACTTGTAATCGCAGCAGAATGGCAACTTCAAGCTCCTTACACACTGAAACTGAAACCAGAAGTGAAGTGTGTGCTACTTTTTAAATTTCATTTTAAATGTATTGAGAAAGATTTGAGTTTAAATAATAAACAGGATGACTCAAATAATGCTTTTTATTAAAACCATTTTGAAAAACCTTACTACTAATAGATTATGGAGTTTTGAAATACACATATATAGTTTCATTAAAAACAAAATAAGAAATGTGTTCTTTTGTCACTTAACTAGGAATTGTTTGTATTTTAGATAATGTTCAGTCATCCAGGCCTAGACATTCAGGACAGAAGTATAGAATATGGACAGCGGCAAATGCCCAAGGAATGTGGAGGCCTGAAGTCCCAAAATAAGGTAAGAAATCTTAGTTTTATCCTCTGATTTGGCATGTAACTAATTAACATATAAGTGAAATTTCCAGTCTTTCTAATTCTCCATGTAGTTGAATTGTACTAGAGTTATTTTTTAGTGTTATAAATTTACTTATTTTTTATATATACTTCTAAACCTCATTACTTAAATTTCCTCCAGATTTATGGTTTGAGTCTGGGAGATTGTCACAGTGTGTTCATCACCAATAGGAATTGTTGTAACTTTCTGCATCCATCACTCCATCTTTAGTCCACACATGGAATTTTTTTAGCCGCAATTCCAAATATCTGGACAATGAAAGTTTGGAAGCCCGGTCTAAATCATAGGCTTACTTACAAACTAGTCACTGTGTCTTGTCACAGTAGTCACTTGTATGGATGAAGGGAACGGTCATTTTGATTTATGCCCGGAAGATGTACTTTCCCCCCTAGCCTGAAACAGCCTACCAGAAAGGTGGGAGAGTATGGTGTGCTTTTCAGTCATTTTCAGAGACTTGTATAGCCAAACCATGAATACGTATACTTTGTGTTAGTTTTTTAGGGCTGTCATAACAAAATACCACAGACAGAGTGCCTTGAGCAACAAAAATATATTTGTTCACAGTTCTAGAAACTGGAAGTCCAAGATCAAGGTGTGGATACATTTGGGTTCTTTCATGGCCTTTCTCCTTGTCTTGTCAATGGTCACCTTCTGATTATGTTCCTTTTTTTCTCTTTAACACTCATTTCTGGTGTCTCGTTCTCTGTGTGTCCAAATATCCTTTTCTTATAAGGACACCAGTCAAACTGGATTAAGGCCTGCCCCAAGGGCCTTAGTTTAATCACTTTTTTAAAGGCTCTATTTCCAAATGTAGTCACATTCTGAGATACTGGGGATTGGGGCCTCAACATATGAAATTGGAAGAAACACAATTCAGCTCATAGTGTTCTATCCTCTGGTCCCTCTTCTCACATGCAAAATATATTCACTTCATCATAACATTCTGAAAGACTTAAGCCATTCTAGTACCATCTCTAGGTCCAGTGTGTGCATACTAAGTCACTTCAGTCTTGTCCAACCCTGGTGGACTAGAGCCTACCAGTCTTCTCTGTCCATGGAATTCTCCAGGCAAGAATACTGGAGTGGGTTGCCATGCCCTATTCCAGCGATTCTTCCAACCCAGAGATTGAACCCACATCTTATGTCTTCTGCATTGGCAGGTGGGTTCTTTATCAGTAGCACCACCAAGATCTCATCTAAATACCATCTAAGTCAAGTGTGAGTGAGACTCAGTTTGATTCATCCTGAGGCAAAATTCCCCTGGGCCCTTGAGGGAAGTGGCCCTACTCCCTTGGTGATATTGTCATTCCTGAGAATTTTCCAGGGCTTCAAGTTCTGGTTCTAGTTTGTTTTTAAAGTTACACTTCAGTTTATCACTTTCCTCTCATATTTTACTATAAACAGCAAAGAGGAACCAGGCTGTATCCTTAGCACTTCTCTTAGAAATTTCTGCTAAATACCCAAGTCCATCACTCACAAATTCTGCCTTCCATGAAACACTAGAATACAATTCACCTGCATTCTTTGCCAGTTTATAACAAGGATCATCTCTCCACCAGCGTCCAACAGTGTATTCATCGTTTCCATCCAGGATCCTCACCAGAAATGCCTTTAACATTTGTATTTCTACCAAGCTTCTCTTCACGATTACCTAGGCTTTTTATAACACACACCTCAAAACTCATTCAGCCTCTACCCATTATCCAGTTCCAAAGGCATGAGCACACTTCTGTTAGCACAGCATCCCACTCCTTGCTACTGATATCTGTATGAGTCAGGGTACTCCAGAACCACAATATGTTTATATATAAAGAGAAAGACATTTGCTTTAAGGAATGGCTAATGTGATGTTGTTTAGTCTCTAAGTCATGTCCAACTCCTTTTCAATCCCATGGACCATAGCCCACCAGGCCCTTCTGTCCAGGGGATTTCCCGGGCAAGAATACTAGAGTGGGTTGCCGTTTCCTTCTCCAGGGGATCTTCCCAACCCATGGCTCAAACCCACTTCTCCTGCTTGGCAGGTGGGTTCTTTCCCACTGAGCCACCTGGGAAGCCCTCTCTATCTGGGAGGCCCTACTCATATGATGGCATGGGTACATATTCAAAATCTTCAGAGTAGGCTGTCATGCTTGAAACCCGAGCAAGAGCTGTAGTCTGTATCCAAAGGCAGTCTGCTGGCAGAATTCTTTCCTGCTCTTTCTTGGTCAGTCTTTGTATTATTAAAGCCTTGAACTGGTTGGATGAGGGCCACCTATGTCATAGAGGATAATCTGCTATGCTTATATAGTCCACCCATTGAAATGTTAATCCAAGAAACATCTTCACTTAAACTTGCAAACAAATTGACCAAATATCTGGGCACTGTGGCCCAGGCAAGTAGGCAGTAAAATTAATCTTCACTGTTATTATTGCAATTTTCATCTCTTTCATTTTTAGGTCCCTTTGAAATCAATTCGACATGTCAGCTTTCAAGATGAGGATGAGATTGTCAGAATAAACCCTCGCGATATCTTAATACGTCGCTATGCAGACTATAGACATCCCGACATGTGGAAAAATGACCTGGAGAGAGATGATACTGACTCCAGTGTTCAGTTTTCTAAACCAGACAGTAAAAAATCAGACTATCTGTACTCTTGTGGGGATGAAACTAAGTTAAGTTCACTCAAAGACTCTGTGGTATTTAAGACACAGCCTTCCTCATTAAAATTTAAGAAGTCAAAACGAAGAAAAGAAGATGGTGAACGTTCTCGCTGCGTATACTGCCAGGAAAGGTTTAATCATGAAGAAAATGGCAGGGGAAAATGTCAGGATGCTCCAGACCCTATTAAGAGATGCATATATCAAGTTAGTTGCATGCTCTGTGCAGAGAGCATGTTGTATCATTGTATGTCAGACTCAGAGGGAGATTTCTCTGACCCCTGTTCATGTGACACTAGCGATGACAAGTTCTGCTTACGATGGTTAGCCCTAGTAGCTTTGTCTTTCATTGTACCATGTATGTGCTGCTACGTCCCTTTGAGAATGTGCCATCGTTGTGGTGAGGCGTGTGGGTGCTGTGGTGGGAAACATAAAGCTGCTGGATGAAAGCATCCAGTGCCGAAATGAGCTTAAAATCTTTGTGTCCAGGAATTAGCTAACTTGGATTTGTGGAAGCTTTTGGCAAGCATTATGCAGTCTTGCCTGGTATCCTTGGGGCCACACGTGGAGGAAGCAGAACTCATCGGTTCTTGGCATTTCACAAATGCTCGCCATGCCCTTTTCCCTGGAGTGCATGGCATGTTTTGTTACAGGTTGTCAAGAATATTTGCAAAAGGAAACCATTTCTGGTTATTGGCAATATAAAGTGAACATAAAATATGATCCAACTAAAAGGGATTAAATTTTTTTGGCATTTTTGTATATTTATGCATTAGGTGATGGGACCTTTACAGGTTTGAATTCATTAAGATATAAACTAAAAGTGCACTAGGGGACAGTTGGATTTCAATCTAAGAAAAGTTAACACTTGGGAATTGTAAGAAGTAAAACAAGTGCAACTAAATCATTTATTAGTTGTTTTTTGAAAGCAGTTTTATGTATAAATAACAAATGTTTATATTTAACTAAATAAAAGGTACGAATTATTACATACAAAGCTTTTCTTCCCCTTCCTAGTTCTGAAGTAGATGTACATATATCTACTGTCACATTCCATATATTTTGAATATTTTACTCATCTAGTTAACGTTTTTATTCCATGTGAATGATTTTATATTTTCATCGTCATTTCCCTTTGGCTACAGTTTATATTGAGTTATATCTGTACATTCTGGTAATCTAAAATCCTTATAAAATATTCTAATAGCCTTGAGTGACCAACTTTTTTTTTTTAAGCACAGATGTAATTGTCTAATGTTATGATGGGAACATAACACTTATTTTTATATAAAAAGAGACTGAGTAAACATTATAGAAAAAGTGAGGTTTTGGGTTGTTTTGTTTTGTTTGTGGTATTCAACCAGCAAGTTGTTTTCTTTCAGAATTTCCTCCTTTCAAAAAAGTATATTGCATTTACAAATGTTTTACAAGGTGAAAAGTGCAACTGGATAGAGTCAAACAGTTTCCTCCTGAGATTTCCACTTAATCATTCTGCTAATCCAGAATATGTTCAGCTTTGTTAATAATATTTTAGCTTAATCCTCAGTGCTTATTATCACATAACAATAATAACTTTTCTCATTTTCATTTTATTTAAACTGACCAGAAGCAAAATTATGCTAAAGAGTGTTTTAAACTACCCCAGAAAACTATTTAATCTAATATCCTGAATGAAATATCTTGTATGTTTAAATTTATTTTCTCTTGCAGAGCATTGTCCTACTGGATGTTTTATTTGCAAAGTAGTTGCATAAATGTTCCAGCAAGCTGTTTGAAGTACTTTGGGGTCAAATTGTCTTTTTTTTTTTTGAAGTGTTACATTGAAACTCTAACCAAGTAAGGGGTTCCTAAAGAACATTCCCTTAAAGGGATAAAGTTGAGAAGTGTGCCTTTTTTTTAATGGCTTGAAGTTTCAGAAATGATCAAAATTAAAATCACACTACTGTTTGAAGCTCATTTTCTATGCAGGTTTTAAAATGTCATTTACATAATCATCTTTTTACATATCACACTTAAAAGCTTGTGTTAGCTTTTTTCTTTTGCCCCAGATCAAACTGAACAGTGTACATAACTATCTGTCTGTAAAATACTTTTTTTTAAGAAAGCATTTATATTTATATGACAGCTTGAACTGACAACATTGTATATATAGATCATCTTGAAGTATTATTTCACATTGAAAAGAAGAAAAATATATTGATAACTATAGATGTTATGAAGAAGAGGTTATTTCTAGTTTTGTACTAAAAATCAATTGGTTGAACTAAGTCCAAAACATGACACTGTAGCAGCAGTTTTAAGTCTTATTTTTACTGTTTATATATTTGGATGCTGCTACACCAGATGATCTTCATCCCTGAAGTTTTCAGCTAAACTTGGTTTCCTAGAATAGACTGTTAACTTTCAAAATTACTTTTTATTGATAAAATGGAAATACTGATTTTCCTTGTGACTGAATTTTCATATTTGTAAGTGCTGAGGTTATAATTCAGGTTTGAGCAGGTGTGAATAACTGAAGAAAATAACTTGCTGGCTACATAGGAAAATGCTGTGGAAATGAACTGTGTATATACTTTTGGGAAGAACAAATTTAATCATTTCTTCTGTTGAGCACTAATCAGTATAGTGCAACTCCTGGTTCTGTACTGTATTTTATATGCAACATATATGCTTTAATATTTTAATGTTTGTGCATTAATATTTTCAGTGTGTTTAACCACTTTGCTGCTAAGATCTTTCCGTCCCATACCCAATTTTTCCTTTACAATTTTTAAACAAGTTTCTTCATTAAAAACTATGGTGATGAAATGGTTTTCATTTTACCTTGAATCTTTATAGTTTAACACACCAAGGTTCCAAAGCAGTCTAGAAGGCTAACTCATAATGTTACCTGAATCCCTTATGTGGAAATTTTCTCATCAGTAAATTAGAATTATTATGTGAAAACAAATGAATAGGTTAAATTTCTCATTCTTAAACATGTGTATAGATATGTTTGGGAGCATTTTCTCAGTCTGCATACAGATTTGACACTGCCAATTGGCTTGTCCTCTAAAGTCTTTCTTTCCAGTTTTAATCTGATAGTAGAAGCAAATGGCTAAGCAAAACTGTTTAAGTAATAGTAAATACTAAAAGTGAAAACATGAAGGCTTTGATCTGATGGCTTATTCAGAATTAATAATTCTTAAATGATTTTCCTCTGACTTGACAGGGGAATCACTTGATTTCTGAAGAAATACGAGGTATGTAACTTCAGCACCACCTACTGGATGATTTCTAGACCATACGTGAGGTGGCAGTTGGGATCTGACAGGGTTCATCATTACTGCCAGTAAAGGGCTATTTAAGGGGCAGCCACTTCCAAATGGAGAAAGTAGGAATAAGAAATATCTCAAAAGAACTGTAAAACCAGTCTTTTCCCTAATGTGTCTTATTGGTCCTGAAAGATTTTAAGCACTTTTTTTCTTACGTTTCCTGTTTTAAATATTTACCAGTATTTGGAACTGGCAGTCAAACTTAATGGATGTGCCGAAGCATTTATAGAACCAATTCTTTTAACTTGTAAAAGCCATTGCTAAAATGGTATTCTTTTCCTCCCATTACCAGTCAGGGAGAACTTTTTAGAAAAAATAAATGTCACTGTATTTCATCATGACAACTTCAGAGAGTGTGTGTGTCTCTGGGATGATAATTGGGCAAGGATTAGAATTTAAAGGGGAAAACTTAAAACTACCTATTTTCATTGGTTACTCAGCAGTGCCTAAAATGAACTTTTGAAGTAATACAAATGCACTTTCAATTCATGTGTATAGTGCCATCTGATATCTTGGGTAAGTCTTGCCTTTTCTTTTTCTCTCCCCAGCCCTTCTTAAGTGAACACCACAGAGATGATTCTTACTATCTATATGTCTCCAGAATGCAGGAAACATGTACTTCCCTCCAGATTCAGAGAAGCTTAAGGATGTTTGTTTTACAGAAATTTACTTCAGGTTTTGTGATACACTTTGGAATATGTGTTTTAAGATTGGGTTTTTTAGTTTAGCCCAAAAAGACATTAAATAAATATAACATTTTACTACATAAAATTTTGAAAGCTTGTTACCTGGAAAGCATAAATTCTTAACTAAATATTCTCATTCTTGATTTCCAGGATCACATATCTAAGAATATGGGGAAGCACTAGAAACTTGCATCATTGTTGCACTAAAAAAAAAAAAAAGATTCGTCTATATGCCGCAATAATAGCACCATAAGGTGTTTTTCAGTGAGTCAAAACATCTAAAAAGAAATCACAACCTGAGGTAATATATATAAGCCAAAAAAAAAAATTTTTTTTTTTTTAAAGGGCTCTAAGGTATTAAGGTACTGTTTGCCTAGCAGCCAGGTGGTTATAAAACTTTCATATGCTTTGATACACTGATGTTAGCCATTGTTCCTGAAAGCTCCTTAAATTGCATAAGTTGCTAGTTTTGAGATTTTTCAAGAATAATCTAGTTGAAAAACCTTTGTATTAAAATACACATAGATTTTTGTGAACATTGCCAGTATGTAGTGTCATTTGCTTTCTATTTTTTACCTCAAAAGTGCCTCACTTGTATATTATTTCCATTAAAAGCTTGACTGCATTCTTTCTAATAAGCAATGAAAAGTTGTTTAACTCATGCCATAATGTATCTCCTTAGATATAGTTGACTAGCTTGACAGTTTTGGATATATAATGTAAATATGCATATATAAGTTTGTAACTGTTTTTGTTACATCATACCCATGTAATTGGACATATCAGATGATATCATAAGAATTTGTTTTAATTACCTGATTAAACCTATCATGAAATATAAAAGGACTTTTTCTTACTCTTCTAGAGGTTAACAAACTATGAGATAATAATTCTTAAAGGAGAAAGCACTAATAGAAATGGAAGTTTTTGATCACAATTTTAAGGTGTGTTTTAACTGAAAGTTCATGTGTAGTTCATTTTAATGACTTATTTATTCACTTGTGATTGTCTCCAGATTTATTTTGTAGTTTGTTACCTGATACATTATTTGATTTTGGAACATGTTACAACTACTGGATTAACTTCATTAAATGATAAGTGGGAAATTTTTAGCCCACAACTATTACTCTTTTACACACAGAGACACACACACATATATCATAATAGCAGCATTTCACTTAGTACTATAAGCAAGAATAAATGAAAAATTATTAGGACAGTGTTCAAAAAAATCATAATGTATTTAAACACCAGAATAACTTTTGAATTGCTTTATTACATTTATATTTGAAAAATCAAGAATTAACTTTATACCTCTATCATGAATTACGAAATACAGTCTCATGTTTACTTACAGGTTTTCAGATTTACTTTATATTCTTCACATCAAATTAATACCCACAAGTAAGAAGAATAGTTTTTACACAAGAGGAATTGAAACTAGGGT